AGCCGGCTACACAATTTCTTATAGCCTTTTATAGCCGATGGCGATTAAGCAACAGCTAGGCGATAAAGTGTATGCTAAACGTTACTAATTACGGATGCTAGGACTTAGTGAGTTTTTGGACTACCGCTCTCTTTTTGGGCCGTAGTATCTTGATTTATTTTGCGAGGAAACCTCCGTTTTTTGGATGGATGCCTGCCATTACTAATATATTAGAGCGCCTTCAGTTTCGTATGATACTGTGCAATACCTCTGGTGTGAAATAGTTGCTTCAGCTGGCAGGCGGGCAGCCAGCGCGAAACACGCATTGGCGCCTACAAACCTAACAGGAATACTTCACGCGTTGCGCAATGCGTGAAGTATCCCTGTTAGGTTTGTAGGCGCCAGTGCGTCGCCGCTCCGCTTTGTGTTAGGCTCTAATATTTAATCTGGCGGAGTCAGCGTTATTCAACTCATGATTTTGAAATGCTTGCACATCCTGTAAGGATTATTCTCATTTTAATTGATGAAAAAAAAATATGTATTAAAGGAAAATATAATGTGTGTTTTGTAAATATTAAGGTGGTTCCGTATCAAACTTAATGATTTCCAAAGCACACGAATTTCTACACAATTTCTTATAGCCTTTTATAATCGATGCTGAAAAAGCAACAACCAGGCGATAAAGCTTGGCAATAGGAACTATAGCCCGGCTGCATAATTTTTTATCGCTTCATATAGCCCGGCCGTATGATTTTCTCCGCATTCTACGGCCAGTTAGATTATTTTCTGTAGCCTTCTTTAGCCGGCTATAAGAATTTCTATGGTATTTGGAAACGCAGGTCTTATCGCCAATTTTTACCAGGGTACAGGGTACACTTCCGTGAAGTTTCCTAAATTCCATTTTCGCAAAAAATTCTGGTTTTCTGTCATCGCACATCTTGGAAATATTCCACTTAGAATTATCGTGAGTTTCTACTATAGGCATGCAGTAATGGGTATATAATTAATTATATTTTTAAACTGTCGATGATTTCACGATGTAGGTGTAATTACTAGGTACGATGTGCTATAATTAAGTACATCATGGGCTATATTTATCGATGGGTTCACAACATCGTTCATCAGTTCAATCGAAGCTTACCTATAGAATAGAGTGACATGAATGAGGCATTTTGCCATTGCGAAGAAATTTAGGGCGAACAGCAAGTGTTTCTTCTGGAATATGGTCCAAAATAATTCACGACAAGCTCAACAAAAAAGTCTAATAGACCTCACTCTTAACTTCATACAAAGGGTACGAATTTGCGCACTTTTGAGACTACCGCATTAAAAGGTACCTACCCTACGGACAATTAATTTCATACTGAAGAGCCATTCCGGCTTCACGGGTGCATATGAAAAGTAAAACGGCCGCGATTATGTGTCGCAATTTCTCGAAAAACAAGAAAACTACAGAAAAAGCGCCATGCATCCGATATTGACTTTCCTGCTTTCCACGTTAAGTTTCAGAAGAAACAGTATTTTAGTGATTTTTTTAGCTCAAAATGCATACATTATTTACGCTGACTTTGACGTCAGAGAAGAAATCCGACTGCCTCATGCGATTATCAAAAATTTTCAGCCGTTTTCCATACCCCAAAAAATTCTTTTTCTTGCTATAGAAAACAGAGCTCCCAACTTGCCTTTGAGTTTTAGAGGTCATTTAGCCCCCATTGGTTCATTTTTCAAAGGCTTTTGAAGATTTTTCCGGAGCCTAATTGAATTTTTGCCTTTAAATCAACGCACGCTATCTCAGCCCTCCCGCTATCCCATTCTGCACCGAATCTCGATCTGTGGTGACCATTTTTAAACATCGGTGGATCTGAGCATCTCGAGCGGGGGGGGGGGGCGTCAAGGGGGTCCGAGGGCCGCCCCTGGAAATTCGTCGTATTTTTGTAGCATCCAATATGCAGTTTGCATCAATTTATTCATGAATAATAGCCGAATGTGGGCGTCTTTCTTTCCTTTTTTCTTCCTCTCCTTTCTATTCCTCTCCTTTCTGTTCCTCTTATTTTCGGGCGGACGGGGGGCATGCACTCCTGCTAAGGAAAAACGCCGTATGAATATTCGAGAGGTGCCAAAATTCCTTTGAAAACATGTTTAATTTGAGGGAAGTTATGACATTTTTCCCGTGAGATTTTAAGGAACTTCAGGTGAAATATCGATCAAAACTACCTGAAAAATTGGAAGGAAAATATTCATAAGTTTACCGGGAAATTCGTGTTTGATCAAAGGAAATTTGGCAACGCCTGTAGGTTCATACGTCGTTTTCCCTTAGCACGCGGCAGTGCAGGTGCACCCCCCCTCCTCTTTGGATCCGCCCATGTATTTACGTGACCGCGTTAGGTCAGGATCTTCAGTTTTTCAGAGCCCATACGGCCGATTTCTTAAGGTCCAGTTACACGATCAAATTGAGCCATCAAATTGGGCCTCTCATTGGTCGCATCCTCACCTTAGGTCTTTTTCCACCAATCAGAGCTTCAGTTTGATGGCTCAATTTGATCGTGTAACTGAACCTTCAGGATCCTTCGGCACGATGATGCCTATGGATTCGGGACCCTGCTAAGAGCCTGCAACAGACCCGTCGAAACGTACAAATGTGAAACTGAGACGGCCTCAAATTTGCGAAAATCTGCGCGAGAAAAGATACGAAATCGCGAGGCCCCATGGTGTGGCTCCCTGACCGGCCTCCGAGCCATTGTCGCCGACGAAGATCACGATGACGCAAATCCCTCCGAGGGTTGGCTTTGCCTCCCCTCGCGACGCCGCGCGCCGCTCTGCGTGCCTTGATTTATACGTTCGTCGAGACGAGAGCCGTGATACCAGATATCCTTGGCCTTTGTTGGGGTCGCCGCTGCTGGAAGTGGATCAAGGGTAAGGGCGAGGGGGTTGCGGGTGGAGAGGGCAGGGCGCACGAGGCAGCGACGGGAGGCCCGCTCGGGGGGTGCCGAGGGGGTTGGGAGTCGCAATCCATGGAAGGGTGCGCTGTCGCGGGTGCTACGTTACCACCGGCGAACAAGGTTAAGGTCATCCGAGCTTGGCAATGAACGGAAGCATTGGGAGCTCCATTGCCGATCGTGGCGTGACGTCAACAAGGGCAGACACCCTTGGAGATCGACAAGACTCAACGTCGGTAATAATCGCTTCAAGTTCCAACATTATCATAAGTCTCAAATTTTCTGCTCTAAGCTGTTTATCCTGAGCGGAAAAGCGCCGGTGCAGAGTCGATTTGGGGCCGTTCAAATAATACGTAAGGCATTCCTGGTAACTTTTTGACCCCCCCCCCTCTCCCTTGTAAGGCACCCGTAAGGAGTCTCTGACTCCTCTTTTGAATTACGTGAGATTGGCCGAGACCCCCCTCCCCATTTTTTCGGAGAAAACTGGAGAAAACCTGGTAAAATGGCTGGAATAAAGGTAATTTAAGGCTTTTGTAAAGGTATATTGATGGAAAATCGGCAAAAAAGGAAGCAAATAATTGAAAATTAATTGTCAGGGGGGTTACCAGTCGAAAAACCAAAATCGGAGACTTTCGGGAACTCTTAAAGGTGTTTTTTCACAGCGGAAAGCTTACATAAGACTCGCGGCTTGACCCCCTCCCCTTTCGTAAGGCTCCGTAAGACAAGCTCGGACCCCCTCCCTCCCCCCAAGTGCCTTAAGTAATACTTGAACGGCCCCTAAGTCTCTTATTTTCAGTTCTAAGCTGTTTTTCCTGTTCTAGGCGTCAAAAATGCTGAAAAAAGCGTTACGCAATTTAGGGACGTCCCCTGCTTTTGGGCCCCCGGCCCCCTTAAAGGTACCTCCAAATGTACAGCCCCTAAGGCCTTGTCTCCACGGGACGTTTTCATGAGATTTGTCCCAAGTTCGAATCGCAAGAATGAAACTTCTAGGATTTTTCCCAGTTACCGTCTCCACGGGACGGGGCTCATACGGTCCTGCGACTAGTTTACGCGGGAAGATAAATTAGTTGGAGTCGAGTATTTAACCGGGATTAAAATAATAATTGCACTCAATTGACAACTAGACACATTATTTTAACGAAACAAACACGAACAATGGAGTTATCAAGAAAATATCGCACAATTCGTTTTCACTTCTTCTTCCTCTTTCAGTGGGTCCTAGGGGGACAAGGACCAAACTTGGTACTGGGAAAAATATTGATTAACTCAATATTTTTCCCAACTTCCTAGACGGGACAAATCCCGTAAAACGGCCCGTGGAGACAAAGCCTTAGTCAAAATCGCATTTAGCTTTACTTACTTCTTATTTTACTCCTTGGCTCGATCTGAAGAAGCTGGTTATTCGAACTTAAGTAATCCTATAAGTTATTCTAACTTCCGAGCCTTTCGGTTAACCTTTAGCAATTTTTACACCAGGCACCAAGAGAATACAATTAAAATTGAGAGCAAAATAATAAAATCTATGGTATCGTGGGTGAATCAACGGAATTTAAAACGAACTGATTATACGATAACCGAGGACTATATGTAAATAACCAAACTAAACAGATAGCATGAAAAGAAAATTACGTCGGACTACGGATTGTTTTTACACTATGCGATGGTCAAATTCGTCCCGTCGTTATCATGGCCGAGCACGGGTTGCACGGCGCACAATTTTCTGACCGGTGGTAGTAGGATCAGTTCTAAACCAGTGTCGATTATTTTTACAGCTGATAATTAATTAAGCCGTCAAACGGCTTGAGAGTTAATATCAGAAAAATACCACGTAAAACGTATGCATATGCTCTCTTTTTTTACTTAGTCACAGCTTTTAAATCATCAGTCTTGTATGGAAGTTGCATTCTGCTTATCAAGCGATTACAGTACAGTAACAGTAGGTGTGGGTTCACCTCACGCTTTCGACACCAAATTCTATCTCTGTCTAGAATATCAATTGAAATGAATAGAGTTTTCGTCAAGAATTAAGATTGATTTTAGAGGTCTGATTTTTTCTGGAATGAAACAAGAATGACGACAAACAGATGAGAATTGACAAAGTTTAATTAAAATTTCTAATCAACATTAGGCACTATACACGAAGACGAACTGACAAATCTTCCAGTTGCTTGGAAGATTATTTCCACTCATTAGAGTATACAACAATACTATAGAAAAAAGAGAAGTTCACGCAAAGATAAAAAATAATAATAAAAAAATAAATTTAATAAAAGCTCATCACTGAGTTAAACTGAGATCTTGAGAGGGGAGGGGGGCTAAAAATTTACAATAGTGTAATAGTAAGAGCCAGAGATAAGTAAGTCAAAACCTAGCTTATCTTAGTCATGCACTTACACTGAGATTCATAGAAACATTGCTGCAGTTTGAGCACTATTTATTCAGTGCGGGTAGAAGTTCGTTCAAAACATAAAAACAACCCTCAAAAAACTAAAGATACCTACCCTTAGAACAGAACTTATGAGCAAACTTCATGAAGAACAATTAAAAAGCATCTGCATCCAGAGATCAATTGGATTACATTATGCAATAAGGAACCACTATCTCTGGCTCTTCAGTAAAAGCACCTTTCTGCATAAGGAAACAAATGGCATATATGCTGTTTCTAAAATGAGTCAGAAATAGTGGTTCCTTATTGCAAAATTTGGTCCAATTCAGACCCAATCCAGAGTAGTGAGGTTATGCGGTGATGAATCATGAATAAAATCATAGCAATCTTAATTTAGCTAAATCAGATCATTTTAGGAGTAATTATTTTTAAACAAAAAATCCTAAGCGGTCATATTTTTAAAATTTCTTTTTCAATGCATCCTTTTACAATTACCAACATTTTAAACTATTAAAAGAAGGACAAAGAGGAGAACAAGAGAGGACATAAAAAAGAAAACAGACGTGCAAAGAAATTGGCAGGTTAGCGTCCTCTTTGCATACATGCTTCAACAAAATCATGATGAATTTTTACGGAAATAACATTTTTTACACCCAAAAAACACATTTTTCGACAGTTCGAGGGAATTCAACGATCCATCAACCAACAATACATTGAGGATTTTATCTTTCAACACTTACATTTTGAAAATGAAAAGGCTGTGCTCCTAATAGACAAATTTCACGTATCAAAAAAAACTGCCTGCTGGAAACAAGAAACCTGAGCTAGGAGCAGGTTATATCAGGTAAAAATTGTCGTTAAACAAACCATCTACTAGGAGAGGTTCCAAAGAAGTTTAGAAGTGCTTTGTCATAAGTGCGTTTTTCCAAATCGAAGTCGAAAGATTTAGGCCAGTCTGGCAGCGGAGTTGACAACAATAGCTCTGCTAAAGGGCAACCAAATTGGAACTGGAATATTTCCTAAATTCTTTTGAGAAATGCCATTAAATATTGTTGATTTCTGTTCAACAATATTTTTAAAACACTTGTATTATTAAACCTGGAGAGTGTCCGGACTTTGCCTGGTTGATGCCAGAATATTATATAAAATATTTTCGGGGTAGGTATTTTATTCTTAATTATTTTCTTTCAAGGAGGTTTTTGTAATTTTCAAGATATTTTACAATATTTTAACAGAAGTAACATAAACATGCGAGGAAATTGCAAAATATTTTGAAAAAAAAAAAAAAAATACCTTTTCGATTTCAAATATTTTGCTCAAAAATTTTCCATTTATAATTTTTTCAGAGTTATCAGGGTACTTTAAATACCGATTTTCATCGTCATGAATGTCAAATAACAGGAGCAGGCGATTGCCTTTTCCTCAGTCGTAAAATCTATTAGGTTTAATCTACAGTCGTGCTGTGGCTCAAAACGGTCGCCATTTACAGCCTTATTGGCAGGAGAAAAAATTCTATTTGTGCGCATCTTACCATGACACTCTTTAGAGAGCATTTTTAACGTACTTCCTCGAAAGAAATCCGAACTCTTTTTGACTTGATTCCTCTCACAATCAGTCTCATCTGATATTACCATATGTTGTGGTTTAAAACTGACTAGCACCTTGCTCAAACGTTTGTGCGTGATTTAAAATCCAAACTACCTATCAAATTTCATGACCTAACGTTGCTTCCTGACTTGGAAGGGCCTTGACTTTCACTCAGATAAGACAGTCCGGTCTCCGCTGTACCTATACCATCCTCGTAAGATGTCGAACTATGGGAATCCAAAGAAGTCGGAATGGTAAGCTCACGCTGTTCATCACACTGCGAGGTGACAGGGCCAGATACATCCTCGGGCTTATGACTGGACGATTCGGCAGTGCTTCTACTGTGCGACGATGGACTGCTGCCCTCACTATGGTCGGATGATATGCGTTTGAAGCTGTTAAAATTACATAAATACCTATTCGCTTTGTAGGGACTAGTTTGTTTTTTATGGCACTTTGTTTCACAGCACGAGTGACTGGGATTCTGACTCCCGCCTGCAGTGCTGGGAGCGGATGTTGACGCAACATCACGCGCAGACCTTACAACTAAATTAAAACTATCGGGATTTTGACAGTTCGATCCTGATTTGGAGATACTGTTAGAGACTTCGCATTTGATTGTGCTACCTGGCAACGAAGCAGAATGATTCTTTGCAGAGCGATTGCTACTACTAGGGCAAACCAATCCGAATTCGGGCATTGTTCCAGAGCTACTGCTGCTGCTAGGACACCCTAATCCGGATGACCCGGGCATTGTTGCAGAGCTACTGCTACTGCTGGGACACCCTAATCCGGATGATCCGGGCATTGTTGCAGAGCTACTGCTACTGCTGGGACATCCTAATCCGGATGATCCGGGCATTGTTGCAGAGCTATTACTACTGCTAGGACACCCTAATCCAGATGTTCCAGGCATTGTTGCAGAGCTATTACTACTGCTCGGACACCCCGATCCGGATGATTCGGGAAACGTTACTGAGCGATTGCTACCAGAGGCGCACCTGAATCCAGATACCGTTGCAGGAGTATTGCTACTACTAGGGCACCCGAATTCGGATTGGGGGATGTAGAGGGTGGTTCCGGCGGCGTCTGCGGAGGGCGGTGGCTCGTAGAACTGGACGGTGCTGCCGCTGGCGACGAGACCGGACAGGATTCTTGAGACGGAGTTGTGCAGGTGGGGAATGTCCGAGATGTGGGGGGTCTGTGTGGAGTCGCCGTGGACGGAGGCGCTGGCACCGGCGACGACCGAGTCGTAGCTGGGCGGCGGCCCGTAGATCTGATGGTACGGCGAGGAGATGGGCACCCCGTTGGTGATGACCCGGGCGCCGTCGCTCTGCTGGTACGACGGCGGAGACCGCACCCGCGTGGCTCCTCCGACCAGAACGTCGTCCGGACCTGAAACCCCATCATTTCATTTAGCGCCCCTTCGTGACAGACTAACAAGTTTCCTACATACATACAAGTCGCTTTACAGCACTCCCTCGCGCTCCTAACCTCCACTGCTCTCTTTCAAACCACAAATCTTGGGGGATTGAGCACCTCAACATTTCCGCTTCAATCCCTTCCCTACAACCTATCATTGGGCGCCCTCTGCGTCTTCTCCCAGGAGGAACCCAATCAAGGACCTTCTTCGGCAACCTGTCTCCTGCCATTCTCTGGACATGACCATACCAAATGCGTTGTTTTGTGATAATATCAAGCACGATGGTCTGCTTGGCATCCATGATCTCCCGTACCGTCTCATTCCTGACGCGATCCTTTCTGGAAATACCAGCGGATCTACGCCAGAAGTCCATCTCTGTTGCCTCTAAAACCTCCCGGGTCCGCTGTTTCATCGGCCATACTTCACACCCGTAGGTTACTATGCTCTTGACAATCGCGTTGTAGATCCTTCTTTTGTTCTCTTTGGAGATCCTAACAAGTTTCCTGCCATTTTAAAATATTTCAAATCAAGGCCTTCAGAATTCCTTCATTTTTCGAATCTCTGGCTTTCCCATGATGGCTTTTTGTGCTTTTCACTGACTCCAGAACTTCCAAAATCCCTAGCCAGTGTTCGAAACTCACAGGCGCCAACGCGCCAAATGCGCCTAAAAAATCTGCCATGGTGCCTAGAAAACGAAGGCTCTGCGCCAACGTGGCCCCTAAAAATTGCCCCCTAAAAATCTGGATTTTCAAAGGAAGTCGCATAAAGAATGAAAAACAAATCTACTTGAGTTGAAAAAACTCAGAATTTTCAGCACTACAAGTGAAAGCTTTTTCCATTCTTCACGAATTCATTCTTAGTGCTTTTGTCTTCCCCAAGTTACAGGTACTTGGGTGAGTTCAAATAAGCGTCTAATTTGGTGTCCCGAGCTGTTTTAATTGTCATAATCTGAGAAACATGGGCAGATCAAATTTTTTTCTCATTTTCTACACTATTGTTGACTATTACATGCTGTGTCCAACTTTATTTGGACTGAAATAAAAATTTAGGAGAACTTTGAATGTGCAAATTGCCTACATTTGTCCCAAATTTGCGTGTCCCCCGTGCCTAGTTCTTGACTTTAAATCGATGTTGCAGCATAACTAGAGTGATTATTTAAGAAAACTTTATTGGAGATGATAGGTAATGCTTTTGAATTTGAGAAAAAAATATGTCAATTTCTTTTTTGCTCCATCAATAACTTTTTCAAGCGCTAGAATCATTGTCCCGAGCAACAGTCAGCAACAGTCAGGAGAGACATGGCAACGATGTAATAAGCTCTAAATGACTGCCGTAACGTTGAGGTTTTTCCAAAAACGAAATTTTTTGTTTTGATTGAATAGTTCACACGTCGCAGATGGCAAAAATTCTGAAATTCGCAAATTTTTGTGCAATATTAACGCCATTAACGATGCCAAACAAAATGCTTCACACGATAACTAACAGGGCGTCAAGCATACACACACACACTAATATCAGCTCGTAAAATACTTACAAAGTGTGCGTTAGGGAAAATTTTCTCTTATTCCGATACTCCAGGATGTGCTACTAAATATTCCGTGAAAAAAAACACAAAAATTGTCTTTATCGTTAGAGATAAGCTTAAAAAACAGCTTATTCCATCCTGTCCCGTTCCATCCTGTCCCGTTCCATCCTGTCCCATATGTTTCCATCCTGTCCCAGTTGAATGGGACAGAGTGGAAAACTGTTACAACTGAGACTTGCTTGTTTAAGCCCTGTAGGCGCTCTTTTCTACCGATTTAAGTGAAACTTGGTACCCGGGGGTATTTTTCAATGGGGAATTCGAATTTTTAGTCAAATTTTGAAAATTCGAAAATCCAAGATGGCGGACATGACCTAAAATGCTATTGTAGCGCCTAATCAACTGAGACTTGTTTGTTTCAGCCCTGTAGGCGCTCTTTTCTACCGATTTAAGTGAAACTTGGTACCCGGGGGTATTTTTCAATGGGAAACTCGAATTTTTAGTCGAATTTTCAAAATTCGAAAATCCAAGATGGCGGACATGGCCTAAAATGCTATCTCGGCGCCTAATCAATCGATTTACGCGAAATTTGGTATCCAAGGGTATTTTTGAATGGGAAACTCGAATTTTTAGTCGAATTTTCAAAATTCGAAAATCCAAGATGGCGGACGTGGCCTAAAATGCTATCTCAGCACCTAATCAGTCGATTAAAATGAAACTTGGTACCCGGGGGTACTTTTCAATAGGGAACTTGAATTTTTAGTCGAATTTTTAAAATTCGAAAATCCAAGATGGCGGACATGGCCTAAAATGCTATCTCAGCGCCTAATCAATCGATTTACGCGAAACTTGGTACTCGCGGGTATTTTTGAATGGGGAACTCGAATTTTAGTCAAATTTCCGAGATTCGAAAATCTAAGATGGTGTCCGTAGCTTAAAACACTATCTCGGTGACTAATTAATTGATTTTAAATAAAACTGGACCGGAAAACCTTGGTATTAGGAAAAGAAAGGAAATGTTATTAGGAATGCAATAGAGTTTCTTACGTGTCTTCGGCTACGAAATCGAAAAATTCCTGGGTTTTTTCCATCGTGCACAGATTCTCCCGGAAAATTGACTCTTCTGGAAAAGCTAGATTTTTAAGGAAAATTCCGATTTCTCCGGAAAAATTCCGAACTTTCCCAGGATAAATCGCACTAATACAGGTAAATGGAGGTGTTCTTCAGAATCAGCGCCAAAAATCTACTCCGAAACCATTGGCAAATCTTCGGAAAATCAAAAAAAAAAAAAAAAGAAAAAAAGTTGACCGGTGTAATTGTTATGTTAATGTAAGTCCTCAAACTTTTCCTGTCTTTATCTCCACTTCAGCGGGTACACGCCCACTCGAAGTTTTAAAATTCGGTGTTTTTGATCCATTTTGTATTGCAATATTCCAAGAAATAAAAGCTTCTCTCGTGTGAAAGGAAAAAATTGCGCATTTTGATAAACAGACGGAACCGTCTAAAAGACAAGCAGAATAAGCTCCAGATATCTTCCATGACGGATGAATTTTGTCTCAATTTTTTTGGTTCTGCAAGATATGAAGGGTTACATGTTTTCAATTATGCTTTAATTTAGTGCTCGACGATGCTTTTATGACAATTGTGTTCAATTTTTAATTAAAAGTATTATGTGTCACCTCTGAGATGAAAGTTTGGGAAATCAGGCAAAATCACGGCAAATTTTGGGAAGTGATACACTTGACGGTGGAAATTCGGGTTTAAGCCCAACTATTAAGCTCGACGAGCTATATTTCCTAAGTCTACACCTAATGATAGTCAAAATAAAGTTTGGTTTGCCCAAAAATTCACAAAAAAATTTTGGGAGGAAATAGAACCTGGAATTAGACCCTTATTTGAATTCACCCACTTACTGGTTCTGTTACGAAAACATCTTGCATCTAACTTTTCACTAAATGCGCCGTAACAGGCAAAAAGTCAATTTGGTTCCTAAAAAATCTTCAATGGCGCCGAGAAATCGGGCTTGATGCGCCACATGGCTCCTAAAACTCAAAGGTGAGTTTCGAACACTGTCCCTAGTTCTCTCTGACGTTTAAACATTACTTCCACTTGAGCATTTCTTGTACCTTGTACTTGTTTTAATACCTGCCTTAACTATCGGTGCGAATTTTCTTTTAAAATTTAAAAAACCAAAAGCGACAACCTGAGGACTTTTCCCTCTCCTTCCCCTCTTAATATTCAGACCGACTAACTAGGGCATTTTCGAAAAAAAATCTTTGAACATTATTGCCGGCGAATTGATCAATGCGCGAAAGATTCTTCATTTCCTCTTATTTACGCACAAGGCTTTTTAATAAAGCACGCTCATCATGAAGAGATTTTTACAGAAAAAAAATTATCTTAAAAATTGTCCAATGAACAGGGTGTCCAGTTTTTTTTTTTTTCATTTTGAGAAATCCTGATTTCATAATTTTTCCAAATCCTGATCAAATTCTGATTATTTGCTGAGAAAAATTAAAATTTCTGCATAAGCGTGTGCGAAAGCAGTCCGATCGGACGGCCGACTTTTCTCAAATCCTGATTTTACCACCGATTTTTCCTCAAACCTTGATGAAATCGGGATTAAATTCTGATTGACCTCAGATCCTAATAAAATCGGGAAAATCCTGATACTACACACCCCGTTTAATCACTAAACTTTGGACGAAATTTCCACCTCTAGAGATTCAAGTTACGGAAAAGAGTGCTTGGAAATCGCTTGCACCCCCCTAATAGCACTTTTTGAAGTTGCTGAAGTGACATGCTTTCCTATGCGACGAGTTTCACGATAAATCCCAGTATTTCCCAGGTTTTCCAGATCTTACACCTGACCTGACTTATACGCATATCAGCATCAATTTACTAGGCTTATTAGTGGTTTAAGAACAAAGGACAAAAACATAGCCCGAATATACGAATAAAGAAGAGATTTAATTAAAATATGGGTAAATAAGGCTAAAAGATTATTAAAACACTAAAACACAGGACGTTTCGAGCTGTTACCAGCTCATTTTCAGCTGCGAAAAACATAAAAACAAGTAAAAAGTACAACAAGTAAGTAACAAGTTTTTACTTGTTTTTAGGTTTTTCGCAGCTGAAAATGAGCTGGTAACAGCTCGAAACGTCCTGTGTTTTAGTGTTTTAATAATCTTTTAGCCTTATTTACCCATATTTTAATTAAATCTCTTCTTTATTAGTGGTTTAATAAATTGGATAGACAATGAAGAATTGGATTGATCCCTGAACCAAAAAAACCGAGAAGTCGAGAGCATGTTTTACCTTTCCAAACGTGGTGCAGAATGATGGTTTCCCGAGCTGGATGATATGTAATGCGGGCTGGTCGATAGGGCCTGGGACAGGGTCTACCGGCTCGATGCGCGTGGAGTGAGCTGGCGAACTCCGAGGGGTACCGCTCGTGGAGCCAATAGCGGTACCACCAGCCTCCTCCAGAGCAGAGCAGGAACATGAGAATGACCATCAACCTGAAGAAAAAAAAGAGAGTGAAATATTATAAGTACGCCATAAAGATGACAATTACGAAATGAATTGTTTCAAAATAGTTGGAGATTAATTTGATCGAATAACTGGCTTTCGAAGTGCGATAATCGCCTATGTATGTATAACTGGATTACATTTTGCAAAAAGGAACCACTGGCATTGCAATGTTGCTAAGATTGTGCAACTTCTTTTGTCTTGGAGGAAAAACCCGATTATCCGTTAATAGTTTCTATTTTACTCCCTAAAAACTGTAAATTTAAGACAAAAATTACCATCTAAATTTCATAGTTTTTCACGATTTCCGCAATTTTATTGCAAAAGATGAAGTTGCACAATCTTAGCATCATTGCAATGCTAGTGGTTCCTTTTTGCAAAATACAATCCAACTGAAGGACGCAACTGCATTTTAAAATTTAAAAAAAAAAAAAAAAAAAAAAAAAAAAAAAAAAAAAAAGTGCAAAAAGTTCTATTTGACTGAACGCTCCAACAGAGGCGGATCCAGAAATTTGGCAACACCGGATTTCTTCCACTTATATCTATGCTTAACAATCAATTCTTGTAAGATGTAAGAGCACCTGGCCCCTCCGAGAATCGATACATTTCCATAGGTTTAAATTGAAAAAAGACAATGTTGTCAATTTGCTGGACCCGCCAATGCGCTTTAAGCGACCAGGAATTTTTTCCTCACTCACTATCCGAAAAAAGTTCTATCTATCCCAAATTCTAGATAATGACTTTTCGTGTACTTTCCGAAGGAACACACTACATGGGGCGATTCCGTACTACCAGCACCAGACATGAACCCTATAAATTTTGAAAAAATTGAGCCAGAGCCTTAAAATTATGTGCGTGGCGTGCTCCTAGGTCACAAAAAATGGCTGCTAGGAGCCTTTAAACTCTTAAAGGAACTATTCTGTAAAAGAGCAGGAACCTTCGGGGTTACAGGCACGGTGAGGGACTTTTGGATCATTCTGTATGTTTAATTTATTTGTTCGGTTATTTTTTATTATCATTTGCTTTTCACTCTTAAGTAAAATTTCCTCACGATTCACACGATCCAAGAGTATGTTTCCTCATGTTTCATACGAATGGAGTGCACTAACCCGAAAAGCTAAAATAATCAATGAATCGTCAAATTTTTTGAAAAAATTTTCGCACACTTCCTCGTTTCAAACGAGAATTTTTTCACTTTCTCAAAAATGTCCTCATCTCGCGAGAATTTTTTCACTTTCTCAAAAATGTCCTCATCTCGCGAGAATTATTTTTCATTCAGAGAGAGAATTTTTCCTTACAAGACTCTGACTCAAGAATATGACGATTTTTTCTGCTTGATAAGCAAGAGAAGAACGTCGCGTAGAAGCTGTCGTGAATGGTCGAAACGTCTACCGTGAAGTCGTAAAGCTCGATAATTATCGGAATTTTTTCAGAGGACTTTTCGGTGCCGTTTCGAACAAGACTTTCCTCACCTATTCAAAACCATGTTCAACGATCATGTGGACCACATTCTGCAATACGGAACCACTATTTCTGGCTCATTTTAGAAACAACATATATGCCATTGGTTTCCCTATGCAGAAAGGTGCTTTTATGGAGGGGCCAGAGATAGTGGATCCTTATTGCAAAATGTAATTCATGTGATCCGCGGGACGTGTATATTTTGCACCCCTGGCTGAGAACAGCTCTGTAGTCCGTACTCAATTACAGCTTTTAGGAGTTGCGTCATGATGGGATCAAGCCCTTACGTTATAGAGGAACAACTAAATCTGCAAACTATATACAATTCTGCTTTGAAAGATTGACAGTATAGACGCATTCATAACTACGGAACATATTTTGCACTCTGAAGGTTACCGATTTATATTAATATCCCAGAGAAAAAAGTTACCTCTCAAATCGTCAGAAAGAATAGTTATACCTATTCTGCCATGCTACGAAAGAACGCCGTCAGAGCCATCAGGCCAAGTTGCAAAATTTCCTTCGACAAATCGCGAATTTTCGGGATTATTTGATGCATATTTCTCTTCTGATTTTTCAGAAGATTTTGTTCGAACTTTGATCTAAAAAGTCTGAAAATCTCAAGGAAATATATTCATAACTCTCTTCAAAAATAAATATTTTCTGATAGGAAATTTGGCAACATTTGTATGTTCATACGGCGTTCTTCCTCCACGGCAGTATACCGCCGTGCTAAGCAAGAACGCCATAAATCCATCAAGATTTTCCCTCGGTTTTTGGAACTTAACACTTTACACCATACAAACCGTTTTACCCATGCACCTCAAATTTTCATGTCAAGTTTTTGATGGTATTTGCGAAAGAATTCTGTAAAAACATTGTCCCAAGGTACACAAGTTTTTCTGCTGTGTTACAGCGTTTCCGAAAAAATGTAAAATGGCGTTTACTACGTTTTAGCTTTGCACGGCAGTGATGGTATTTGGAAGATCTTCAATAGCGCTTCCATATATGTGCAAATTCTGGCAGGCTTATTCAACGCCGTTCATGAGATATGAAGTTTCAGAATTGCGATGTATCAGTAGCGAAGCTAAATTGGTCAATTATCTATATTTCTCCATTAGAAGCTATGGTAAAGAATCGATTATTAAGGTGTTGGTTGCGAACGCCCTGTTTATTGATCCTTTTCATTGGTTTAAATGGCAGATCAAGCTATACATCGCAAAGCACGCCACGCCACTGCGATGTATATTGCGGAATCAATGAAGCCATCACGACATGATGCGCAACCATCTATACTGCGTTCTGCCGTGATATCGAAGAGAGCCGTAAGTGCAACATTTTCGAAATCGAGTTTTCTTCAAAATTCATCTGAACTCTTTTGGATGAAATTACTGAGACAGCTAGAACAGCAAAATTCATCCTAGTTTAATGAAAACGAGACGTATGAAAAAGCCGTAAGTACACAAAAAATGACATAGTTTTTTTCAAGACAGCCGTGGGTGCACGAGAGCCAATGAAAATAGTGCTTTCGAGAGGAATGCCACCCTCATCTGCCGATTCCTAACATGGAAATGTGTTTGTTTTGTGTCCAACACGCTACCACAAAAGCACGCAGAAGATAGCGCTTACGGCTGTCTTGCCAAATACTAACCTAATATGAAACTGAATTTTACCTTTTTCATGTACTTTAAAATAAAATCGTTCGAGTTTTAATCCTCCAAATGATTTCTAAGAGTCTATCGAATGATTGGTTGCGATTTGACAAAGAACGGAGGCTTCTTTTAATAAAATGTTCCACTCAGAAGCTTCTAGGCCCATTTTCTCGAAACTTCATTTTGCACTTACGGCTCTCTTCGCTATCACGGCAGTGTTGTGGACTGGCAATGAAATGGAGTTGCGTATCTTTTTACTCTGGGGTATTGATACGTGGATCCCGCGGGGATTATTCATTTGGACGCATTTCTGCCAAACGGAACTATGTGCATTGAGACATGAGCCGTGAGACCCATAAGAATATGTGCATAATAGGACCCACGTCATAATGCACATAGTTCCGTTTGGCAGAAATACGTCCATTTAATCAACAGTTCTGTTCCTCTGTATTTTGCGAGAAACACGATGGTCTTTCATTGTCGAAACAGTTGGTTGATTTTAGATAGATGCTGAAAACTTTAAAATAAAACATTATAAGCCTGAAAAACTGATTCACAACACTATCGTAGAGATTGAGAGGAAACTTACCAGTAGTACCATAACTGATAAAACTGAAATGATGGCGAGAGACAACAGCCAAATGAGCAGCAATACTCATTCTTTGTGCATCTGAAAAGAAAAAGAAAACAAGATTTAAGATTTTATGCGATGGATTTGAGCTTTGCATTCATTCCAAGCTTGTTTGGAAATCCAATACCTAAATCCAATTTTTTTTTCTTGGGGACTTAAGCGCTGTTGGTTCCACTTGAGCGTTGTTATTCATATTTAGTTCACATCGGTGACCTTTTAAGCGAAGAGGTATGAGATGACTCATTGATTCCTTTCGAAATGACCCATCTCGGACAACAACATATTATATTCGCTCAAACTTTAAAGTCAAAAGTATCTTTAGGCATCGTTGATTGACAGGGCTGGATTAAGGGGGTGGCCACATGGACCGCGGTCCATAGCGGCAAATCTAAGGGGCGGCAAAAATTTGCAATTTTTTAAAGTGTACGTATAAAAAAAATCGGATTTATAAAAAACAAAATTACAAACGAGAAAAGGCGACAAAATCTCTCCTTTCCTGAGAGTATAGTAGTTTTTAATTTTGTCGTCTCTTAGTGATACAAGAGATAGTACCCTCAATAAGTCGAGTTAAGAGAGAGACCAAACACGCAATTTGGCCTGGAACGGCGCGACTTAAAGAGAAATGATAACGAGGACTTGAGATGAAAAGGAGAAGCCCTCGGCGCGGCGATCGGCATGAAACACATATTAGCGCCTACAAGACTGCACGAATACTTCACGCATTGCATCAAACACAGTGCTGTCATTGCGGTCAGCGTGAAACGGATAGCGCCTACAAGAATGCATGAATACCTCACGCATTGCGGTAAACACAGTACGATCAGCGTGAAACGCATAGCGCCTACAAGACTGCGTGAATACTTCACGCATTGCGTCAAACACACTGCGGTCTGCGCGGCGCGGCGGCGGAAGTTAAAATCATTGAACCACATTTATGTTTGTTCTTTCATAATTTTTTCATTCATTTCTTATGAATGGAAGACCTTGTCCACACAGAGATAGTTTTACGGAACTTAACTTTCGCGCAAAGTTTCGTGAACTTTTGCTAGTAGTGTTGACAGGGCTTTCCCAAAAAATGTGTTCAACACGAGTAAATGCGTCTTATGCACCCCTCTCCCGCTGGCACGTTCATTTGATGGTTTTTATCGAATTTCAAAACAAATGAGAAGGGGGCGGCAAAATATAGGCGGCCAATGGGCGGCAAGTAGGTGAATCCGGCCCAGTTGATTGATAAAATACACTGCTTAAGAGAACCATGGGTGTTTTTTGCTACATACACATCCTGAAAAAGGGTAGGACTGGAAGGGGTACCTGGGCCCTTTTTACCGTTGTCTCGGCGGAATGATTGGTGGCCCCGAAATAATCTACATTTTTCTGAGCCAATTTGCACGCGGGGATACCAAAAGTTCTTCGGAGCAAAAATTAGTCACAATCTCAGCCTCAAAATGTTCTCATTTGTCGAGCAATTCCTCATATCGTAAGAGGGTTGAAAGCGCTTAGTGTTTAATCCACAAATTATAATAAAATTTAGCGCGCTTTTTGGTTTATTTTTCTCATTTTGGTCCACAAAAAAAAACGAGGGGGAGGGAGCAGATGGTTCCCTCGCACTCTTACTGTACGAGCCCTGGGTCGTGCGGTAGATCGTTTTCAGCACCCTTGTCCTTACGAATTGTCAAAAACCAAATGAACCAATTTGTACGCGGGGATACCAAAAGTTCTTCGGAGAAAAATCTCAGTCTCGAAATGTTCTCATTTGTCGAGCAATTCCTCATATTGTAAGAGGGTTGAAAGCGCTTAGTGTTTAATCCACAAATTAATAAAATTTAGCGCGCTTTTTGGTTTATTTTTCTCATTTTGGTCCCAAAAAAAACGAGGGGGAGGGAGCAGATGGTTCCCTCGCACTTTTACTGTACGAGCCCTAGGTCGTGCGGTAGATCATTTTCAGCACCCTTATCCTTACGAATTGTCAAAAACCAAACTACCATGAATATGGCGGTATATTTATTCGGATCTTTAATTCTAGGATGCAAAAGGTGTTGTACCAAAATTACAAAATTTGTCTGATTTTTGCATGAGATCAGAGGGAAAATCGGTGACATTCCCAATCAGAAATGCCCAAGATTCTGTAAAAATTTGATTAGTGAGGAAATTTGGCAGCACTGAAATGTAGTTCCGTTCTTTTGTAAGAAAAACTACGATTCATGTCAGAGAGAACCAAATACAAATTGACTGGATCCACAAGCACTATAAATCACGTACACGCTCTAGGCTTACGGTTCCTTTTGATTAAATGCTTCGGCACATATTTTTTTTTTTTTCGCATAAAACGTCGTTCCCTGATATAAAAGGCGTACCTCGATTCTTTAAGTTATCATGCTGCCGTATTCCACTTGGCCTTCGACTCGGGGATTCCGACAGTCAGGAGTCTACTTTACCCGAGCAAATTTCGACTCTGGAGTGGGTATAATTGCATACCCCATTAGACGAAGGCGCATAGATACCACGGCTGCTAGAGCATGCTCCCAGTCACTGAATTTGTTTTAATCGTTCATTTGATAATAGGGCTTCCACTATTATTCCGAGTGTTTCTATACTTTCAACTTCCTCTCTGCTTAACTCTGTAAGTTCTTTCATTTCCCAAAACTTTTCTGACATACTCTTATTTTAACTTTCAGAAAAATTCACCCAGATACAGCGTTTACCGAACAAATCAGTTCGGTGAGCGAGGATGTCCACGCAGATAATACCAACAGAAAAGAAATTGTCTACAGAGAGTTATTGCTGAGTGTTATTTTTTGGGGGAAAAATTCGATGAGCGAAATATGATTCGCCTACAATCAAGAGATAATGAGGGGTCGGTCGAAGGTTGGGTTTTAAATGGACTGAGTTAAGCAGAAAGGAACCAACCCACATTTTGGAAAAAATTGAGTTATGAGTGGTTTTGAACTCAACCACTGCTCTACTATCTATCATCAAAAATTCAAAGTTTTTGTTGGAGCAAATTTTGTAGAAATTGAACTTGAAGTTTATCTTTTACATTGAGTCTTATGCAGGAGCCAAACTTAAAACCTCTTTTTCTCGGTTCGATCCCGATGTGGCTTGGTTCCTTTCTGTTTAACTCCGTCCAAATCTTTGTCCGTGAAACACTTGTGCCACCGCTTTTAGAGGTAAACTTTATCATCGCTTTCAAAGTGTCTGTTTAGTGTGCTCGTCTTTTTGTCACTAATCTTTTTTTAAGATTATACCGGTTCAGCAAATAAGAGTATTTGACAGTTAAAACCTAAAAAAAAAAACGTTGCCAAAATGAAAACTGAAGGTCAATAAGAAAGTAAAAACAAATCAAATTTGAATAATCTGGTGGTCCTGCATGCCTACATTTCTTAACAGGGTATAGCAGTACTTATTGATGCCATACTTGAACAGATTCATATTTTCAGCGTTCGGCTGTTTTGACTCAGAATGGACCACTAGACAAGGTACGAATTTCAGCATTCTGATACATTTTTCTTAGTTAAAATTTCACGTAGAATACGACGCGCACAACGAAAATTACCGAAATCAACTCCTGCCAAAGATATTTAATGATTCTTGATGCGTGAATTCAAACCACCCGCTTATGAAAACTCAATGCTCTACGTGATTCACATCGCGCGCTAAACGTTATCATGACAGTGTCTGCGATATAAAAATCCGGCAACCTCAATCTTGACGCTTTAGCTCAGCTGTAGCAAATTGCGTATAGTTTGAACAACACATGGTGAGAAATGAACATTACTCGATTGAGGAGCTTGCTGAAACCGTTGTAGTGCGCGATTTGACTCACGTAGAGCTTTGAGTTTCTTGTGAGCGGGCAGTTCAAATTCCTCGTAATCAGTGCGAAATTAAAACGTTAATATCTTCGTTAGAAGTTGATTTCGGTAATTTTCGTAGTGTGAATCGTGTTCTACGTGAAATTCTGGTTAAGAAACATGTATCAGATTGCTTAAATTCGTACCTTGTCTAGTGGTCCATTGGGGGTTTTTTTATGACCGTTCAAATGCGACCGCATCACTTCTCGAATATTTCGTCACCTTCCGGCCAAAGTATCACAAGCGCCATGCGATGTTTCAAAATTTCCGCCGCCATTTTATTTTTAACAGAGAAATTGTTCGACGAAGCTGTCCGAAAATTTCACTGAATTCTTTTTGGTGCTGCCTATAAAATTCAGTGAAATTGTCAAACAAATTCAACCAACAATTTCTCAGAAAAAAAAATAAAATGGCGGCGGGAGTTTTGAGGGTCGCATGGCACTTGTGATATTTTGACCGGAGGGTGACGATTTGTTGTCTGAAGCATCTTTGTGCTTCGAGTACTTTAATCACATAGCGACTGCTTTTTAAAAGAAGGTATATTGTGGCCATTCGAGGAAAAGGAGACCTTAGGAAACCGAGGTAAATTTTTTTAACACTTTTTTTTTTTCGAGTTAAAAGATCTGCATTTGAATTTTCGACGGAAAACGCGCTCTAGTATCCATAATTATTTTTAGCTGAGAAAGAGCGTAAAATGACAATGTAATACGAGATTTTAGGCTTCAAGATTGGCAGAATAAAACTTTAAACGGCTAATGATTCAAAACTACATTAGAACTGCAAACTTCAAACCGCCAAAGCTCCAGTTCGGTTTAAAATACATCGGCGGTGAAATTACCATACTAGGTCACTCAGTGTGCGACGCTATAAACTTCCTGCCATACTTTCATTTTCTAAATAGGAAACTACTGAACGTCAATTCTTGAATACTTCCGAGATATTTCTTCCCCGTGCGGAGAGACCTCTGTGAAAACTTCAAGGAATGATACTGATTTGTTCTCCTTCAAAAAAATCAAATATAGTCCAGGCAATAAAGGATTTTACCTTGCAAAATTTAGGTGAAATCAGGTTATGATCGATTCCTATGTAATTTTTTACGCTGAATCCAAATTTTTGGTTTCCCAACAAATTTTCCTTGTGCTAACTCCGGAAAATCGGAAAAACCGCGAAAAATCACGTTTTTCCGCGGTT